AAGTGTTTCGCTCTTCGTTAAAGACAGGTTGTATAGTGACCTCCGTCGATATTGGCCCTCACTGTTTGTGATGTGAATAAGTCCCCAGCTGCAGTAGCGTGCAACTTTCTCCGGTCAAAATGTAAAGGGGACGGGGTTACAGGGTATTAATAATTTGGTGCCGTCTATACCCCTCCCGCGCTGCCACACACCAGCGACACGCCTGACCATAGCCGGACGTGCTAAACGTCTTAGCCCTCTCACATCTGGTTGTTCTTCCCGCTGAGCGGGTTTTCTGCTGCGGAATCTTGGTAAGGGGAGGAGTATGGTGGCGGTATCCGGGTATACTACCCTCCTGCCTTGCTACTGTGCACTTTTCAACCGAGGAAGGGACTTTCACTGCAGTCGTGGACCCATTCACCTTGCACAATGAAAGAACCGGTCCTCGTAAGTGAGTGTATAGTTTGTCTTCAAAGGCACGGCCTGCGATCATCTACAATTGTCTACGCTCTCTGAAGGGGGGGGGAAATAGAGGAAACCGCAGCGAGCAACCCTGTACAAGTTTCGCGTCAGAAAGTTGTAAGGTAGCGGCGGTAAGGCGCAAGGTTGTACAAGTGACTCCGCCCACTCCGATAGATATCTTATCGGTTGTCTTACTCGTTTGTGTGCTCTCTCGCCACTGTTGTCTGGCCTCTCGCTCAAAAACCAGAATCAGTGGGCGCGTACGCTTCTCTTTCCATCCCAGTGCCAACGAACTTCTCTCTGGCTCATCGCGAATTCTGCCTCTATGTGCTACATATGCCAACATGCACTGTTAGCTTTTACGGGTCACCGCAACTTGAATCCCGTCACTAGCACCCAAAACAAATCTCGGTATTCACTGATCGCAGTGCTTTCGTGCCTATAATGCCCTGAGAGGGTGTGCGTAATGGCATACGGGCAAAGATGGCGCTTTCAAAGCCTAAAATCGTCCGAGAAGGCCCTGTTGACTAGGAGCAACTTCGCCAAGCTTTCAGCTGACAACCGCTAAATATTTATCAGTGACTTGTAAACCTTGGCATAGTGAATGGAAGGGGAACTATTTTTTTAGCCTGGAAGGGGGCGCATAACTCGCGCGGCATTTAGCGTGTGCTTAATTGGTTCCACACTAGGTAGCGGAAAGTCAAAAACTCGTTGAACTGCATGTTGTGTCCAGTTATGTCCGTATGTTGCTGTGATTTACTCACTTGACTAGTGAAATCCCTCTATCCCTTTCCTTACGAGCGATAATCCTTCAAACAACAGATTGGAATAACTCGTCTTCTTTTTCTAGCAGTCACATCACCGTAGTCCTCGTACACTGTCACGATTGTTGTGTGCCCGTATGGTGTCTTGTGTGTCTCTTTCAGGAACCAGACAGTGGCGGAAAATCCCCGGCAAACGCCATCACAGCGTCCAAATCGAAGGATAAGGAAGTGTGTCGAACGTCTCATAGATAACTAATATTGCATGTGAAGCCAACACGTTTTCATCGTTATTTGTTGATGCCCGTAAAAGTGCGTTCATACTTGGCGTCAGCGTTTTTATACCTCGGCTTTCCCAGCCGCTCAAGACGCTGGCGTACTCTCAAAATG